TTGACCTTCACCAAATGCTACACTGAGTGTAAGTACACCTTGAACTAGGACTGGCTAATTGTTGAATCTGTATACAGGGCCATCGTACTTCTACAGTAAAGTTGCGTTGAGCCTTAAACTTTCAAAACAATGGTAGTACATTATGTTAGGTGCACTATTAGTGTCAACAAGGATGCACTATACCTCGTAGTTATTAACTATGATGGAGGTGACCAACAAGTCATTATAAGATGTTACAACCTCGTCGAGGTTGGTAGATGTGAAGGTTATAGGTTAATTCTTCCATTCCACGTCATCGAACTTCCTTTTCTAAGCTCGGTTTAGTGCTTAACCTCCTTGATATACAATTTTCACTGCTTAGAACTTAATCCCCCTACCTCAAGCCCACCAATTATCAGATCGATAATTTTAACCAAAGGTGAAAAGGGTGATAGGGCTTGTTGGTACCACACTTCCTCTCTATTGTTCATATTGCAAGATCCTTAGGATTGCGAACCCTGTTCTTTAACAAATTTAGGTTGGTCTATCTTTTGGATGTAATTATTTAACATTCCTCTTTGAGCTAATCCTTCTAACTTAGACTTCAAGTTATTGCACTCTTCTATTATGTGACCATGATCTTGGTAGAAGTCACAATATCTAGTGTGATCACATGTAGCTACGAAACTTCTCCTTGGGGCTAGTCTCTTCAGTTCTATCTTATTCTTGATCTATATTAGAATCTGTGACCTTGGCAATTTGAAAAGAGTTCATGTGGCTGGTGGCTTTGCAGATGATGGTTGGGAAGCTATTGATTCGGTTTTCCCAAATATGGGTGCAGAAACAGAGATTGGTCCATGGTTTTGAATTGCTTTCATCCTTTTCCTACTCTATCCTTGTTCTCTCTAAGCTAGATTTTGGTTCTTAACAAGTGTTGGCTTTCAAGACAAAGCATATTCCTCAACTATGATGAACTTTTGGGATCGATCATTAACCTTATCAAAAGTGGTAAGAGGATGTTTGATCAAATTATCTCGAAATCGTTCAAGGACTACATCGTTGAATATATTCATATAATTTTTTGAAGATTCCCCTTTTCTCTATATCATCCTCATGAGCTCAAGTGTGGTTTACTTGATTAATCTTCTACTAGAGAATTTTGTGGCAAAGGCAATTGCCAACTCCATATAAAAGTTGATGGATCTCAGAGGTAAGCTATAATACCATGTTAGAGCATTACCTCAAAAGGTTGAAGGAAATATCTTGCACATTAAGGCATTTGAAGCATTCTAGGCTTGCATGTAGGAGTAGAAAGCATGTAAATAGTCATTTGGGTCCTTAGTTCCACCATATGTTTCGAACTGAGGCATCTTGAAACCAACTAGTTAGGATTCCGAAGTGATATTGGTGTTCAATGGGTGTCTCATTGAATTAGCATTGTTCTGAGGAGGTGGAATATTACTCTGCTCGGCTATTATTCTTTCCAAACTATCTAGATGTTGTTGACGACCACTTAAGATTTTTTCAAAATAATGAAAAATTAAATCAAGTGTAAAATCTAAAAGAAAAGGGAGTCGCCATTTATCCAAATTATAAGGTGGGATAAGTCGCCTAAAAGCAGGTCTACACAAAGATCGCGATTCGGGGGTTCGGTTAGGAGTGAGGAAAGGCATACACACATCTCACTATCCTTCGTTTAAACATGGTTGGTACTTTAACATTGGGGTTTTAATTCAACTTATTCATTATATTTATGATTGAGTCTGAATAAGCAATCTTGAAAAATGGATTAACCAAATTGCAACATTTTTAAATTTTTGGACTGAAATGGATGAAAACAAAGACATATATACACCATGAACACAAGTAAAAATTAAAGGGTCTGGTTTGATTAAAAAAAACATGAAAGATTGATTTGATAAGATTTAAAACATGAAGGACTAATTTAGAAAAGAGTTAGACCCTTGGACTAAATTCCTTGATCATAAAACTTTTCGGTTGAATTGAGACAAAATAGAAAGATAACTTTCACTTCAACCAAAATTGAAGAAAATTGAAGATTGAAATTAATTAATCAAGATAATTAATTTAATTGAATAATTAATTTAATATTAATTAAAATTAATTAAAATTAATTAATCACATTTACTAATCATTAATTGAGATAATCAAATAAATTAATTATCTCA